CCCCCGTGTTGGGTTCAGGCAGGGCCACCGCGGTGCACAGGGACAGAGGCTTTGCTCCAGGGCCTTCCCCCGTGCTGGGCTCAGTGCACAGGGGGACGGAGGCTTTGCTCCAGGGCCTTCCCCCGTGTTGGGCTTGGTGCAGGGCCACCGCAGTGCACAGGGGGACAGAGGCTTTACTCCATGGGCTGGGACCTGGTGGGGAGACCATAGAAGGCAAGACCATGGTAGGGCAGACGCCCAGAGGGAGGTCAGCAGGTGAGAAGGTAACGTGACTTGGTCTCTGGTGTGGCCAAACTGTAGGAGCTGTGAGGGCTGACCCTTGCCACTTGTAATCAGACATCTGGATTTCTGAGTTTGGCTCAGCACGCTTCAGCCCATAAAAGACAGGTGGAGGGGTGAGGGGAGACAGGTGAGTGGTGGGGAAAGGGAGGAGGCGAGGGTCGGCGATGGGGTGCTGAGGGCAGGCGGAGAGGCAGCCATGTCTGCGTGCCACCTGTGTTTGCTCACCGTCTGCACTCGGACCCAGGCAGGGCAGGACCGACAGGCTCGTGTCCTGGAGCCCGTGGGGGGGGGGGGGGACTCGCTCTGCTGGCTCGGTGTCCGCCATGCTGAGGCTCTCTGCTGTCACCCCAGGGGCCACTCAGGCAGAGGGAAACTGCCTGAGTGTTTCTCAGTGTGGTTTCCTGCTTTTGTCTAGCCGCACGAGATGAAGATCACGCCTGCCTACCTGCAGGACATCGAGAATGCCTACAAGAAAACCTTCCTCCCTGAGATGAGGTGAGCTGCAGCCTGCTCGCTGTCTTGCCTTGCACACGCTTCTCGTGCCTTAGGCGCGGTTCTAGGGTTTCACCCTCACCCGGGACAGCGGATGTGGGGGCGTTTCAGCCTCCAGGTTAGAAACGGAGCAGGAACCGTTCCCTGGCTCTCGCGACGTTTTGGTTCATGTGCATGCCTGTTCATGTTTTCCAGCGTTGCGTGGCTGGAGAAACCCAGGCGTGATGGTCCCTGCCTCGCGAGCTTGCTGTGCTGCCCTGGCCGCGAGGTGCTGCACAGCCCAGTCTGTATGGTTTTCAGGGCAGGTGGCCGCATGCAGAGGACTTGCACTGTCTGCTCCCAGGTTTTACTGAGTGCGTGAACTTTTAATTCAGCTTTTCCTTTTTCGTACAGTGACAAGTGTGAAGTTTTGCAGTACACTGCCAAGGAGGCCGAAGATGCAGAAAAGGTGAGAAACCGGTTGACGAGTTCACTACTCCTCCCAAGTTTGAGTGACGTGCAAGATTCCTGCAAAGCAGCATCGTCTAGTCACCAGGAAGCAGTGCCGCCCTGGCCGCAGGGTGCTGCCCAGCCCAGTCTCTGTGATTTCAGGGCAGGTGGCTGCGATGCAGAGGGCTTGGACTGTTGCTCCCAAGGTTTTGTTAGATAGGGGAGGCTTGATTGGAAGTTGGATTACTTAACAGGAAGGGTTTCGTCATGTAAAAATAATGGTTTTCCCCTAACTCCTGCGCTTTGTGAAATTCTAGTCTCGGTGCAGTCTTCAGGGAACTTAATGAGTAGCAGCCAGGAAAGTTTGGAAAAGGATCATGCAGGTACATTGACCCTCCCAAATGCACACACAGTCTGAGCTGCAGTAATTACGAAAGCACTGACACGTGCAGGAGTGGGTGCGTAGGTTAAGGGGACAGAGAGTCCAGAAGAACGTGTGTGTGTGTGTGCGTGCTGGTGAGCTCAGGCGGGGCAGCTCCTGTCACAGCCCTCCCACACCACAGTGGCCGCATCTCTGGCGGGCCCCGTGGGCTCTGCAGGGAGCACGGCGGAAACCCTGAACACTGGTCCAGCTCAGCTCAAAGAGTTCTGAGACTTCGCCTCCCTCTCCCTGCACAGTTGAATTGCGCTTCATCCCTCCTGTTCCTGGGATGTGGTTTGTTTATCCAGATTGTTCTACCTCTGTTGATGAAATGTCTGGGTGGCGTGTGTCTTAGGAGAATGCATGGTCTTAAACCATGGTGTTCGAGTTAATGACTGACTGTGGTCCTGGATCGGGAACCCCAGCCATGTTCCCCTGCGTGGCACGTCTGGGTGGATGCCATGGGAGGTGATTCAGGAGGCCAGACTGCACAGGCCACCCTCCACAGGCTGGGAGGACGGTGACCCAGGCCTCCCCCGTGGCCGGGTCTTCCTGCTGCTGTGAGTGGCTGTCTTGCCTTCAGAAATTTACTTGGGAAGAAGCAGCCAGTCTGTTGGGGCTTGGAGTCCCTCCAGCCACGACCCTTCTCCCCTGCCTTTTCTCGGTTCCGGCTCCAGGTCTTGGCGCTGATCCTGCCCATGCTGCTCGCCGGCCAGAACACGGCGGGCGGGCCCCCCCGCCCCCTTGCGTCCGACCGTGCGTGTGATTTCTATGCTAGCTCTGTCAGCGTCTAACGTGAGAGCGCGTTCTCTCTGTCCAGTTCCTGGGACGTCACTCCCTGTTTTGAATGGTCTTCCTGTTGCAGGTGGTGGAGGACATCGAGTACCTCAAGTGTGACAAAGGGCCGTGGCTCAAGCAGGACGACCGGACCTTCCACCACCTGCGGATGCTGTGAGTTCCTTGGCATTGGGGTTGCTGCGCTGAGACTGACGGCTGGGGCTCAGTGCTCTGTTTTCTCGAGCACAGTCCATCGGGGTCACCTGCATGCCATGGGAGCTTTGTAGGAGGCTGGCACCCCGCAGGCGCTCACGGCCCCGGCCAGTCCTTCGGCTGTGCCCCCTCCCCTCACGATCAGCTGAGTTCCTGGGCCGCGGCTCAACGGCAACACGTAGCCAGCAAGTCCTCATTCCAGCCCTGTGCCAGGGGCTCCAGGCCAGGGGCTGTGGTGCCCAGTTAAGTTCCTGCTCTTAGCAAAGATGGTCTTGGGGGAGACAGACTCAGCAGGGGTCAGGTGGAGCGAGGGCTGTGATTCCACAGGGTTCAGGGATGGTTTTGTAAGGAAGGTGCTATTGCATTGTAATTCTGGTCATTTGCCAATCAAAAGACTTCAGTATTTAAGGGTCTTTAACTTCAGTGTTGGAGAAAACACAGGTAGATACCTGAGGCCTTCTCTTCCTGTCAGGCCCAGGTCTGGTCTGGCCTGGCCCCTGCCCTGCGCCATCCCTGCCATTGCCCAGGGGACTCCCCAGGGCCCGGTGCCCCACTGTGGGCCCCAGAGGGTGGCCTGGTGAGGCTGTACCGGCACAGGGTGGCCTGGGCCCTCCTCAGATGGCAGGACATTGCCATCTGTGCTGGGCCCTGGCTGGTGTGCCTCACCTGTGGGTCGATCCTGGGCAGTGGCCCTAACATGGGCAGCGAGCAGGCCACTTCCTTCTGGCGAACCCAGCGCTGCAGGATGCCGGAGGGCGGGTGGTACTGTGCACACACAGCTGGTGCTCACTGCTCAGAGCAGGCCGAGCTGGGCGTGTGGCCGAGGCGTGTCCCGGCAGGTGTTTCTAGCTCAGCAGTGACACGCAGAGGTGGACTGCACGACAGAGCTCACTGCCCACCTAGGTCATTGGCTCCCAGCACTCCAGTCAAGTAGCATTTGCAGGTTAGACCAAATGACAGATCTTCAACTTGTAGGTAAAAGTCCGCTTTCTAGTCATTGCAACAGATGCTGGAAGATGCGTCAGGTCGGCGTGGTGGGGTTGGAGGGAGCAGGCAGGTGGGCAGTGGCCAGTTCGGCCCCTGGCTGCCCCGTGACCGGACACACCCTGACCTGCCCGTGCCATAGTTCTTCAGCTGTGGAGCTGGCGCGGAAGCACGGCGCCGTGCCGTGTCCAAGCACGAGCACGGTTTTCCACCCTGTGGATGGGCATACACCGTCAGAGGTAGAAGTAGCTTGCTGAGAATTCGGTCCTCTAGAAAGCCTCTTTAAAAGAACCTAGTAACTCTCCCACTAAGACTCAGCACCCGTGTCTTTCTAAGCTGCTGCTGAGCAGCGGGACAGCGCAAGGCACTGCTCCTGTCTGCGGTTATTCCACAGCCTGGAGCTGGTGCCGGAGGCACCCAGCCCCCAGGTGCAGGGCCCATGGAACCAGGCCTTCCTCCCTCCTGTCCTGTGCACCCCCAGGTGGCCCTAAGAAGGGCCGTGGCGCCCTCTCCGTCTGCCCCGTAGGCGTAGGTCTGATCTCGCCCTCTGCCCCGCTCCACTTCTCCCATCCCGCTGGTTGTTAGTGACAGACCCTTCTCTCCTCAAAACTCTTCTTTTCCCGCGTGACCTTCTGCATCTTCCAGGCTGCCATGGCTAGGATGTTCGTGTGCTCCTCGTCTGTCCTGAGCTGCTCTTGGGCAGGGGGTATGCTGTGAGAAAGGCAGCCAGCCCAGCATCTGGGTGACCCGGAGTGCGTGTGGCCTTGTGACCTCCTCCTGGTAAAACCTTCATTTTCCGAATGTGAGCCTTGGTGTGCGTCAGTCTGGCTCAGTACAGTGTCTAAAATTCCTGTCTGGAAACCATAGTTCTGGTAGTTTTTAGTTATGTGGTTATCAGAGCGTTGAGAAGGACCCTCTGACTCCCAAGGGTTAGAAATTGCAGGATTTAATTAATTGTTTAAATTTAGTTTACTGTAAATGATAGTGTCCTTTCTTTCGTTTTTTTCCCCCATATTCAAGGCCCAGGGTATTTCCTAACAGTTTTCCATGGTAATTGTGTTTGCTTTCATTTAAGTACAATTTCTTAATTTGGAGACTTAAGTAAAAATTATGACCAATTTTCCAAGATAATTATCGTAAACATGCCATTTAGCAGTTACACTCATTACGTCCAGAGTCAGCCCGCCAAATCATTGGTTGCGACATTTCTGTGCTGTCTCACATCGCTGTGTAATTGTGTGTGTGTGTGTGTTTGCACACATGTGCTTACGCTGACTGGCAGGGATTGTAGCCTTCTGTCTCACATCGCTGTGGAATTGTGTGTGTGTGCATGTGTGTGTGCACATGTGTGTGCATGTGTGCACACATGTGCTTATGCTGACTGGCAGGGAACGTAGCCTTCTGTCTCATGTTCTGTGTCATTGTGTGTATGTATGTGTGTATACATGTGTGCACATGTGCGCTTACCCTGGATGGCAGGGAGTGTAGTCTTCCATCTCACATTGCTGTGTAACTGTATTTGTGTGCACCCATGTGCACGTGTGCACTCACGCTGACTGGCAGGGAGTGTAGCCTTCAGTCTCACGTTGCTGTGTTTGTGTGTGTACATGTGTGCACGTGTGCACTCACGCTGACTGGCAGGGAGTGTAGCCTTCAGTCTCACGTTGCTGTGTTGTGTGTGTCCATGTGTGCACGTGTGCACTCATGCTGACCGGCAGGGAGTGTAGTCTGCAGTCTTGATGGGGATGCCTTCGTGTCTGTAGTCTGCCCCAGATTGGTGCTGTGGGGTCGCTTCTATCCTGCTGGGACCTCTGACTTGCAGCCAGGCCTCTAGCGGGCTGGGTTCTGAGTCCACCTGCCCGACGGCTCCTGTGCCGTGCTGCCCTCTCATCCCCGGGAACACCTGTTGGATGTGCAGTTCCAGGCTGTGGAGGCTGTTGGGGGTGAGCGTGGAGCCAGAATGTAGTGTTTTAAACAGAACTTTGCAGCTGCGGAAACTGCACAGCCTCTCAGCTGGGAGGCGGTCAGTCCGAATGCATGGTCTCCCGTGGGAGGTGGTCAGTCCGAATGCATGGTCTCCCGTGCCCACTTCGCTGTCATCCTGCCCTGCTGCTGGCAGCACAGCTCCTGTGTTGGGAAGCATACCTGGGGCGGCCTGTGAACTGGGCCTGGGGCTGGCGATGGTAGCAGCATACGTGGTCATCAGCCAGCTCTCGGTGCATCCCAGTTAGACCCTGACCTGCTGTCTTACTGCTCCTTGGCCCTGAGCCCTGCAGCCCTCTGGTGTCTTTCCTTCTGTCTTTAGGCTAGAACATGCTCCCAGTTGATTAGAAGCTAAGACCTTTGGGGTTTCCTGCAGCCGTGCTGCAGACTCTTCTTCACGGTCATCGTTAAAACTCTCAGTATCAGATTGAAAGAGCAGTTTGGCCGGGTTTAAAGAATTTGTGAGAGGCTGGCAGCTGGCGTGGTGGTTAAGGTGCTGGATTCCCACATGACTGACCAAAGTTTGAGTCCTGGACTTGGTGGCTTGCTTTCTCACTTTCCCTCTCTCTCTCTCTCTCTCTGTGTGTGTGTGTCTCTTTCTGGTCAAATTTAAAAAAATGATGAATAAAATAAAATAATTTAAAAAAAACTCGAAGAATATTTGCAACAGATTTATTTTTTAGTCTTCAAGCCAGTTAGGAGGGTACTCGTTAACAGGCTCCCCAGGGCTCCATGGGAGTTGTAACGCAGCCACATCGAGACTAGATGGCACTGTTGTTCTGTGCGGCCCACCACTCCTGGCTGGGAAATGCTTTCCGGTTTCCCTCAGGGTTTTCAGACTGGAGAAAACCGGATCACCCCCTCCACTTGGGTATTTGTACATGTTTCATATGAAGCTCGCTGATCATTGAGATTTTTTATTGTCAGGTCACAGGTCTTTCTGTAGTAACAGGAACAGAGTAATTCTGCTTGTGTTAACAGCTGGAAGATGGGTATATGTGCAATATTGACTCTCGCTTTGCTGTACTTTTCTAAAGAATTATTTTATTTAACTTTATTTATTTAGCTTGACCAGAGAGGGGACAGAGTGAGAGAGAGAAAGAGAGAGAGGGAAAGTGAGAAAGTTGGCCACCAGTCCGGGACTCGAACTGCTGTCGGCCATGTGGGAGTCCAGCGTCCTTCACCACCACGCCACCTGCTGGCCCCACTTTGCTGTATTTGAAGGAATCCCTGAAGGAGCCCCATAGCTCCCCCTCTGCAGGGGCAAACGTGCAGGTCTGGAAGGGGCCCTGTGGAGGACTTGCCTCGGGGCTGTGAGGGAGGTGATAGAACGCCCAGTGCACTTCTGTCAGCCAAGCAGCAGCCTTACAGTACCGCCCTGCAGGCCCCGGCCAAGATCCAAGCAGCATTAAAGCAGAGAAGCAGTCTTTTCTCTGACTGCCTACGCAGCTCTCCCTGCCGCCCACCATATTCGGCCTGTCCAGTCCTAGACCTCTGGATCTCTGGGGAGGTATGATCCAAAGGCCCCAGGGCCTTGGCAGAATCTGCCCTGGGGCCGAGGAGATCTGGCCTTGAGCTTGCTGGTGGGCCTGGGCCTGGCTCCCGAAGCTGGCAGAGAGCAGGTTTGCTCAGACTGCCATCCAAGGCCTCACAAGGGCAGACACCCCGCCCCCGCAGCTCATTAATGGGGAAGGGGCCATTTAAAATCATTGCTTTGTTTTGAGCCCTTAAGGAAGGAGATTTTATTTTAATGTTTCTTTTTGAAAGTTAAAAAAATGCTTTTCATCTTCAAATCTAGTGGTTATATTCAGACTGAACCTTATTTAAAATAAGTGAAGTGTAAATATTTTAGCATTCAGCAAAATGGCATGGTAAAACAAAGAGTGTATCCTATGATTTGTATTTTTTGGTGCCAGGAAAGGTGGAGAATTATTTTCTCTCAGCATGGGGCCCCCTGCGCCCCTGCCCCTGTGGTCCTGGAGCCGCTGCCAGCTTCGGGACACCATTCTTTCCCATAGGCTCATCCTTAGGGACTCACCGGCACAACCACACTGCACGGCGCTGCAGTACAGCCGCTAGCTTCTAGAGTGTGTTTCTAGTGTTAGAGGGTGCATGTGCATGCGTGGGAGGAGAGGAGAAGGGACCCCTGCCCTACAGGGCCAGCCACCCCGCATTTCTTTTCCTCTGGCTCTCCATTCCGTCAGGGTTCTGGGCATGTGTTCATGCCTAGGATGGTTTGGAGCTGCTGGGAGCAGGACTCGAACCTTAGTTAGCCATGTGGGATCTGCTTCCTTTCACAGTGCTTAACTGCTGTGCTGTGGGACAGGTCCTGCTCATAGGTTTTGATTTCTGCTTTTCCCATGGTTAAGGTATACGTGGCTCCTTTTTTATTTTTCCAAATAACACCTATTTCTAAAAGGTTGTCTCTGGATACACTAGATACATACAATGTCCTGCCTGAAGCTCTGAGAGGAACTTCCAAAATACAAGGGAGCTTCAGGAAAAATGGGGTTAAAGGATGAGTTTATTTTGGTACAAAACAATTTGGAATCTGTACGTGTTTTTTCATCATCTGCATTTCCATGAACTTTTGGAAGACCCCCTGATAGAATAGTCTTTGGGATGAAGGTTTTGCCTCCACGGTGGTTGCTGGGGTACGTGAGCAGTCATCTGATAGGTGTGACTCCTGTTTGTCTTATTTTTTAGGGTTCAGAATAAGGTGGAGGTGCTGAATTACACAACCATTCCCGTATATCTCCCCGAGATCACGATTGGGGCGCACCAGAGTGACCGCATCTTCCGTGCCTTCAGAGAGGTGAGACCGTGAGTGTGGGCAGCAGGCGGGTCTGCACCAGCGGAACGTGCAGCACTTCTCTAGAAAGCAGTTTTGCTGTTGCTCTCTCGCTTGTGTTGGTGAAGGAGTTTGGTTTTCATTGGCGAGTTCTCATGTCCCTTATTTCTGGAAGTGAGGCTGGCGCAGTCCCTGAGGACAGAGGCATCCCTGTAGCTGTGGAAAGCTCTGGCCTCCAGCCGCCCTGCACTCCCTCGCTGTAGGCATCGTTCCCTGCGTTGCCTTGATTGTCAGGTCATGGCTGTTTGTGGGGAGGCTTTCACCTCTGCAGAGGGGCTCGACCATGTGGGATGGGGAGGCAGGCAGGCCCAGCGGGGGCTATGAGGGCGGCTGGTTCCATCGACCCTCTTACCTGATGCCCACCTCACCCGTCTTCTTATCTGTAAGGAGTAGAGGTGACTGCCTGGACCCACATGGTCCCTGGGCCTGCCCACGCTCTTAACACAGCGACCCTGAGTTCAGCCCAGCCCAGCAGCACCTGGCTGGGAATGCCAGTTCTTGGGCCCTGTCCAGGCCTACTGGGTTGTGATCTGTGGTGTGTGGCCCAGCCACGTTAACCAGTGTCCCCCTCTGTTCCGATGTCCACTAAGGTTTTGAGAGCCAGTGCTTGAGGGTGTCATTCCTACAAACGGGGGCTTCTCCCTAAGCACAGCTCAGTGGCCGGAGCCAGGACGTGTGTTGGCATTGCTTATCCCCAGGTGTTCTTCAGAGCAGTAAGGTCAGAGCCAGGCCGGCAGCTGGCTTTGTGTCTGTAGTTTCTTTGAGTCTGGACCAGCTTCTTGGGCTTTCATTGACATCAAACCTTGATACGTCTCAAGACTGTCAATGGTTGCGTTCATGGTCTCTCAATTTGGTTATCGGATGTTTCCGTAATGCCACTTAGGCTTCGTGGTTTTCGGTGGGAGGGTCAGAGAACTCCCTGCATCTCATCAAGCAGTGAATGGCTTTCATTGTCCCTCTGCTGGGTTACCTCTGATCACTTGATTAAGGTGTGTATTCGCTGTAAGTTACTCTTTTTTGATAATTTGTATATATTTTGGGGGGTGCGGGAGGGGAGTCTTTGAGACTTTGTAAATGTTTCCTTTCTCGCCAGAAAGTAGCATCCGTTGATTTTTTCAGCTAAAGCGTAACTGTGATGGTTGCCAATTTCTAATTCAAAGTCTGTTATTTTTCTATACTAGTTAGTATCCTCCTACTGTTGTAGAGTGCCACCGAATGAACAGCCACCAAACCCAGATTTATTAGCTGGCCGGGCGACTACAGCCTGAGGCACAAGGGGTGGGGGAGGCGGGGCGGCAGCGCTGAGAGTCAGAACTGCAGCCCCGACCGAAGTTGGAGTACGCTTTTTATAGGGGTCAGTTACCAGGGGTTTCTATGCAAGCAGTCACAGAAGCTGAATCAAACAGGTTGATTAGTTCTGAGCGGAGTGGGGTTTCCTTGCAAGCAGTTCCATTGCTGAACAAAAGGGTTTTGGGCTAGTTAACAAAGACAGCAGCAGGTACAGGGTGTCGTCCTGGATATGGTTTTCTGTATGGCTAGCGCAAGCTATTTTCTCACGGGAAGAACAAGCAGGTTAACAGAAGCAGACAGCCATGTTGGGGAAGGGAACAAGATGGACAGAGTTGCTCACATGCACGATCCAATATGCTGCCTTCCACACTATAAGGAAATAGTTTTCCTTCTCCCCCCTCACTTCTCCATTTGTTTATTTCACGTCAACTCCCAGGATTCTGTATTCACATACTTATATGCATGTATATTCTTTTTCGAGAGAGATTACATGTGCGTGCCCAATCTCTCTCCTCCATTCTCCTCTCAGGATCTTGGGCACGCACATGCACCCTGTGTGAGTTTTAAATCACCGGGTCCAGGACTCGAACTGCTGTCAACTACATGGGAGTCCAGCAACATAATGATTATGCCATCTGCTCGTCCCTACTTCTGTATGTATTTCTGTATATCAGAAACCGAGTTCACATTGATGGGACCGTGTCCGGTTCGTTCTGGTGACCTCTTCCGTGTCCCTCTCAAATAGTGAGAACCAGGGCTCCTATCGCTTAGGGATATTTACTTCCTGGGCCAGCCTCCGTGTGTGCCCACTCCCACAGAGTGGCCCTCTGAGTGTGTGTGCCCGCTCCCCCCAGAGTGCCCCGTGTGTGCCCGCTCCCCCAGAGTGCCCCGTGTGTGCCCGCTCCCCCAGAGTGCCCCCTGTGTGCCCGTTCCCCCCAGAGTGCCCCGTGTGTGCCCGTTTCCCCCAGAGTGCCCCTCCACGGTCCAGATGCGACCCTCTCCCAGCCTGGTAGACTTAGAAAGATGGTTGACCGCATTTATGAAGGACATTTTGTTAAATAGTCAAGTTTTTCCTTTCTGCACTTCCAAACTCCTGATTTATCTACTACAGAGTTTCTCCCTTCCAGTGAGGACTGTGTCCGCCCTCGCTCTTGTCCTGGGTGCCAGTCCGTCAGGTGCTGCCCTTCCCAGCACCCCTCCTGCGCTCTTCTCTGTCACACTCTGGGTGTGCTGCAGCGGGTGTGTTCCCCTCCACTGCCTTCCAGGGCTTTCTCAGCTTTTTCATCTGTGGTTGCACCTGCTTTCCTGTATTCAGATCCTGAATTTCAACCATAGTCCTTTTTGGTTCTAGAATTTCCATTTTTTTTTATCATTTCAAATTCTTTGCTGAAATTATTCTGTCATTCAGTTTCCTGGGCATCCACATCTCAGTTAGTGATCTGACGGCTGTAACGTGTCAGTGTCCTTTAGCTCTGTTCGCAATGTCTGACTCCCAGCCCTCTGGTTCTGGTCGTCAATCTTCGGTCACGTTTTGGTACCCCGGTAGTTGCTGCGTACTGATTGGTGCCTGTGTTCAGTGACAGTCATCATTTGTGGAGGCCGTGAAGACAGTGTGAGGTCCTGGTGGTGTCATCTTACTCTGGAATCCGTAGTTCCCAGCTCGCCCAGGTCCACTCAACATTGAGCCCGTGGACCCTGAGCTGACGCCGTGAGCTCTGGTGCACCTGCAGCATGCACTTCCCGAGAGCCCGCCTGCCGGAGGCCCCGCCCTTTGGCGGTCCTGAATTGCAGCTCTGTGTCTCCCCGTGCTGAGGACACTGCTCTGCTTCCTCGAGCTCACTGCAGGGCCCGCCTGCGACGTTCTTTTCTCCTGGGCTGCTGGAGCCCGAGTCCCTCCCTCCCCCGATGCCTTGGCGGTCTCTTCGGTGTCATCCATCCGTTTCGGTGGCTGCAGAGTGGAGAGCTGGTGGAGAGCTGGCGTACACCAGAGCTGGGTGATCGGAGGCACGGTTGTCCGTGGTCTCAGTCATTGCTGCGCTCTGTGGGGTTTGTCTGCTTTTAACTCAGTGGGCATTTATGGCTTTGGGGTTATGTTTCTAATTAAAGGTTCAGAACCTTAAATTATCAGAGAAGTCTTAATTCTTCAAATTTCTAAATGTTTTTCAAATAAGCTACTTTCAAATACAGAGCTAAGCGGTGACAGGAACAGACTTCATGGACCCCACATCCCGACTTCCTGTCACTGGCCTCTCAGTGGGAACACGCATTGTGGTCCATGGGCCACCACGCACACACGTTGTCCACACTGCGTGAGTTTCCCCATGTCCTTTTCTGCCCCGAGACCCCATCCAGGACACCGAGTGACATGGAGTCACCATGTCTCCTTAGCCGCTGTGTGATGTGACAGTGTCTCAGACTCCTTGTTTCAATAGCCCTGACAGTGACAAGGAGTTCTGGCCAGGTATTTCGTATACTGTCCCTAAGTTGGCGTTTGTCTGATGCCTCTGTCACGATCGGATGAGTTTCTGTGCTTTAGGGAGGGGTGTCCCAGGACTGGAGCGGGTGTTCTCAGCCGTGACAGGCACAGGTGGGCAAGAGCAGTCCCACCCTGCCCCCGGTGCCAGGTGGGCAGCTGTGCAGCCGCAGTTCTGTCTGACCTGCGGGGAACGAGTGCCGGAGAGACGCGCTAGAAAGTACAGCCCTGACCACTGAGACCTGCTCCCACCGTTTTCCTCCCCTCGGACACGGAGTCAGACACCCACGGAGGGACATGAAGGTGGCGTGCATGCCAGCCGGACTCTTCCTCCACCCGTGTGCTCCAGTCGCGGTCCCCTTCCTGTCCAGCTCAGCTGGGGAGGTCAGCACAGCCTGAGGAGTGGGAGACGGGGAGGATGAGAAGGGCTGAGCCAGGGGCCAGTGCAGGGTGCGAGCGTGTAATTCTTGATAAACAGAGGACACGCACAGTGATGGGGCCATCACCCCTGTCCTCTGAGGCCGCAGGACAGGACAGGCTGGTGAAGGTGTTTTTACTCAGGCTGGAGTTTGAGGTTCTGAGATTTAGGAAAATTACTTTGAAATTTGAATTTTGGCCAGGTTAAACCCTGATTTCCAGAATTATATGTCATAAGAAGAAACTAACAATCTGAAAAGAAGAAAGCTCCTTTAGAAAAGTGTTTAGGCTTTGCTTATTTGCATTTTTCTTTTAGAATTTTTGCCATAGGGCCATGCGCTTGCAGAAGAGAAACAAAGGCAAAGTGAGAAATCAGCCCCCAGGGAGGATGACCCCTCTGGTCCCTCCTCCATGCTCTCATCAGGATCTGGGGCACGCGCACGCACAGCCTGGTGCGTTTTAAGCCACTGGGCCCAGGACTTGAACAGTGGAGTTGTCTGCATGAGATCCAGGCCTCAACCACCACGCCACCTGCTGGCCCCAGGCTTTGCTTTCTGCACATTGTGAAGATGAGTCTGTAAGAAAATAAAAACCAGCCTTTTGTTAGTGGCACCCTGAGGACTTGAACTAAAGTGTTCATTCACAGACAAGGTGGGGAGAGAGCCCACCTGCTGTGTGCGAGGAGAGCTCATCTTCCAGAGGAGAAGAGGGAAGCTAAGGCAGGGTCTGGCTGACAAGCGCCTAGGGTAGGTGGGGCTTGGAAGTGGTTGTCCTGACTGGCCTT